ATTTTTTTTTTTTTTTTTTTAAATCAAAAGCCTACGGCTAACTCTGACCCGAGGCAGCTTCCCTGCGTGGTTGCACCTGACGCGGAGAGAGCTTGTAGGCTTCCCCAGTGCCTCCGCCGCTTCCTGGTGTAAGTTAGGTGCTCGTGGAGGTGTGTCCGCCCTCAGCGACCTCGCCCCCGGCCCCTGGGGCCTGCGGGTGAGTTCCAGGCATTAGAGACACTGGTGCATTTTATCCAGAGCACAATTTTTTTGCAGGGCAGCAGAATCCGAAGCCAGACGTGGCCGCGTGCACCTCCGAGCGGGGTTTTCCGGCCGCCATCCACCGCCACCCTTACTGCCTAAGTCACACGACAGGGAGGCTGCCCTCAGTGGAGTTGGGGCTCAGACCCCAGGGTGGGACTTCACGGCTTTGCGAGCAGCGCCTGCCCCCTGACCTCCACCTCGCAGAGAGGAAGGAGGCGGGCGCGGCCGGGCAAGGGGCCCCTTTCTCAGCACAGAACATTTTCTGTCTCAGCTCTGGGAGACTGACTATGCACGTTCGCACCCGACTTCCAGCCAGAGAGAGACGTCCTCGGGTAACACCAACCCTTGCTTCCTCCGTCTATGAATCCGAGACCAAGACCAGTCACACCCCTGAGGTATACCCCCCAGCCCTCCCGACGCTGATGTCACTAAAACACACCTTTATAATGATTTTCAACTTGCGTGGGGGTTTTCTTTTTCCGCCCCGCTTTGGTCCTGGATATAATGGCATGATCTGTTTTATGAAAAAAAAAAATATGTCACTGTGCATATTAGCAATATGTCCTCACACACCACTGGCTTGGTTACATTTTGGGTCACTGTAATAAATCTCGATTCATGGACTAGGAAATACAGGGACTACATAATGCCCGCGTATCACAGAAGAACTTAGGTTCATGGTTCTGTGCTCCCTGCTCCGGAAGTTTTTCCTCCTGGTTTTTCTACCTTCTCTTTTTATTCCGAAATGCGTTTATGAGGTTGTGAGTTATGTTTACGGATTGGAAGCCAGGGGTACGCTTTCAGCATTTGTTGCAGCCAAGAGTTAACCCCACCACAGTTAATGAGCATCTTTGACTGGTCTTCTGTGGAATTTGAACTAAATCTATGAGCCTTATTCAATATCTATAATTCTATGGTTTTTTAAAATTATGGGGAATTAATGAAAGATGTTTACATGAATAATGTTTGCCCTTACCGTGTGATGAATGAGTTTTTTTGTAGTGTGTCTGGGTGCATGTGCAAGAGAGTAGGAAAAATGTTTCTGAAACAAAACTTGACAAATATTTGTAATGAAAAGTAAATCTAAAGATTGCTATATAATTGCGCTATAGAAACAATGCAAGTATTAAACAAAATATACAATCACTGTCACTGTCTTCCTTCGGTCGTCAAGGGCAAAAACGGAATGGCGGTTTTCCTATCACCCATCCAACAACATATTTCGATTACTAAGCAAAACTTTAATAGTATTAACCAGTTTCCGTTTTCAAAGCATTGTGGCAGGACCTGTGGAGGAGAATGGAAAGATTAGGAGTGTTCATGGTATATTTGTCCTAACTCCACGTACACCCATAAATCCAGAAAACTTAGCAAGATCCACCCAAGCATCTCTGATTGATGACATAAGTGTTACGTAAGTGTTAAGGGTATTGAATGTAAATGAGGTGATCAGGTAACCCAGTGTTTCCCAAACTTCTCTCATGATGAGAATCACCTGGTGGAGTTGTTAAAATACAGATTCCTGAATCCCAACTAAGAAGTGCTAAACTAGAATTTTTGGGAACATATAGGTAAAATTGTATACTTAACTTGTGCTCTAAGACAACTCCACCAGGTGATTCTCATCATGAGACAAGTTTGGGAAACACTGATAACCGACCTGGCCTATGGGAATACAAAACTAATACGCCTGCCCTCGCTGGTCCCCCTTCTCTGCACCTGGGGAAGCTAGCAGGGTCACGCCAGGCTGCCAGGCTGTGTGCCGCACACTGTTGATGGCTCGTTGAGCGAACCTTCTCAGTGGCCTCCCTCAGATGCATGGCTTTGGGGTTCCTGCAAGTGTATCTGACCGGGTGCACATAGAGCATTCTCCAAATAGTTCCCGTGAGAATGACGCTCTCGTTTTTCTCGTTTTTTTTAAATCATGTTCTCGGTTTGCTCATTCGCTCAAGACACATTTCTCAAGCTTGACCACCTAGCAGTCCCTGTTTCAGGCCATTAACAAATAAGTGCACAAAAGCAGAGTCCCAGCCAGCCCGGAAGGGACGTATGCGACAGGGAAGTGTGTGGAACAGGAAGAGGGAGTGGGGGAGGGGCTGTAGGGATGAGATTGGGGACCTCACTGAGAGGGGAGAGCCCAAGCTGGGGGGTCTGGGGAAAGGTTCTGGGTCCAGGAGGAGCTGTAAGGGGCCCAACCCTGAGTGGGGAGCTGCGTGGAGTGTCCAAGAGCAGGGAGGCCAGGGAGTCAGATTCCATGTGGCCCCAAAGCCTTTTTAAGGACTTTGTTTTTAACTCAGAGTGTGATGGGAGGTCAACCAATGATGTAAGATACTAAACAGCCCAGCTGGCGTGGCTCAGTGGTTGAGCATCAATCTATGAACCAGGTGGCTGTGGTTCAATTCCCAGTCAAGGCACATGACTGGTTGCAGGCTCCATCCCCAGTGTAGGGTGTGCAGGAGGCAGCCAATCAAAGATACTCTATCATCATTGATGTTTCTCTCTCTTTCTTCCTCTCCCTTTCTCTCTGAAACCAATACTAAGATATATTTGAAAAAATAAAAAATTACTAAACAAACCAGCCTTGTTCCACCTAGTCTACTGAAGGTCCCAAACACTCCTTTGCTATTTTCATTGTTGTTAGCCCTTCCAGTGGAGAAGAAGGGTGGTAAGATCTGCCCCCCTTGGGTACCAGGGCCACTCTGGGTGTGAACAGGTGAGGGTAGACAGGAGCGGGGACCCAGGCAGAAACAGGAAGTACAGCATGATGGTGGGTGGGATGGAAGGGGTGATGGTGGTGGGAAGTGGTTGAATTTTGGATTTGCCCTAAAGGCAGAGACGATGGAATTTGCTGAGAGGTGGGTTTTATTTTCCAGGTGAGGGCTGGCTAACAGATGAGGAGACAAGATAGAAACAGTTCCCAGGCCCAGAGGGCAGTCCAGAAGGGGCGGGCCGCCTGAGGGAGCAGCAGGGACAGGCAGGAGGCTGGGGGGGAGTGTGGGCAGGGGCCTCTGTTGTGGCTTCTGGCAGAAGGAAGGCCAGGCCGGGGGAGCAGGCTTAGGGAGCTGGTTTGACACTGTGGCGGGTTCCGGGTGCAGGGGCTGCCTCTAGATGTCGGGAGCCAGCTCTGTGGAGTGGGCTGGGTGCAAGAGCCTTTAAAGATGCTGGTTGCCCTGAGGGCTCTGGGTTGGTTGGTTTGTGTTTGAAAGACACGGGTGGTTTGGTCTCTCTAGAAATTGGTAGCCCAGGGCTAGCAAAGCATCAGGATAAAAAGACACGTCCCAGAGCAGCCCATTCGTTTTTCCGTGGTGCAGCTCCCTCTTGTGGCGGGAATTCATTCTCATGCTGCTTCTGAAATGAAGCCATAAAGCAAACACGTTAACCAAGGGGTGATTTGATACATTTTAAAATCAAACATGAACTCTGGGTCAGTGTTTATTTTTGTCCCCAGGTTGGACGTGGAGGAGCCCAATAAAGACACCATTTCCAGGGCTTTTTTGTTTTTTAAATAAGTTCACATTTCAAAAGAGCTAATAGTGCTTTTGGAACATGCAACTAACTAGGTCGAGCAAAGTTGATTTATCTTTTAAAACAAACTAAAGCATGTTTGCCCAGCCGACATGGCTCTGGTTGAGCATTGACCAATGAACCAGGAGTTCGTGGTTTGATTCCCGGTCACGGCACAGGCCTGTATTGTGAGTTCGATCCCCAGTGTGGTGCATGTAGGAGGCAGCTGATCAATGGTTCTCTCTCATCATTGATGTTTCTCTCTTTCTCCCCCATGCCTTTCCCTTCCTCTCTGAAATCAATATAAAAATATATTTTTTTTAATAAAGCATTTTTATGTCACAGAGCTCTTGAATATCTACCTGGCTAGAGCACAGTTTTCTGCGAAACATGGATTATGACTATATTAACCCTAAATCAATCAAATCTTCTCTGACCTATCATATTTTTTTCTAATGAGTCAGCTACGGTGTGGTAAGAATCACAGATCACCAGGGGAAGTGGCCTTCCAGTTACCCATGTGCACAAACCGTGCAAAATTACAAGGAAGTGTGTAGATACACCTTCACCTACAAGCAGCTTCCTCGGTTTCTTCTAGACTGTAGACTTGAGCTCCTAGACAGAGCAGAGTAATATAGTTTCTCCAAAACAAGGAAATCTTAAGTCACTTAAAATAAAAATAAAAAACTGGAGCTATATTCAAGCTTACCATGTGAACGGGATACACACTGAGGGGCAGTTGTCCATCCCACACCAAGAAATTGTTCCCTAAAAGGAAACTAATTTATCCCAATAGGATAGGGATATTAGAGACATTTCTAGAGACTTCTTTGCATAGCAGAGCAATTCACAATATAGCGTGTGTGTGTGTGTGTGTGTGTGTGTGTGTGTGAATACCACTTATCTAATTAAGACTTGCATCACGTAGGCCTCAGCTAAAGATCTGAAGACATGAAGACAAGAGATGTCGAGCAGCCACTAAACATTCAGAAATTCGTGTCCTTTACTCTGTAGAACTGCCCCAACACAGCCACTAGGACATCAGGTTCCAGCCTCAGAGCCTGTGCCCCTGCAAGATGTGAGAGCCAGCAAGAGATGGGGAGGGAGGAGCTTCTGAGAAATGCAGCCGGGTTTCTAGAAGTCTCCTCCCGTTTTTGAGCACCATAGCTTGAAACCTGTGACCTGAACACTATCCACCCGCGCTCTGCTCCTCGGTTCAGCAGGCAGAATCCCCTGTGAGGTGCCGTGTGCAGGTCCCTGCCCCTCCCAGAGGTCCTGCACTTGGACCGTCCAGGCAGCGCACAGGAAGCCTGCTGTTTCTGCTCGCCAGTGCAGTGCGGCGAGGCTCAGAAAGAGACTCCTGAGCAATTAAGATCAAAGTAAGTGTAAAAGTTACTCTCTGGGAGCCGGGTTCCAATCAGGGCAGAGATATCTAAAGTCACCAGAAAAAGGGGGAAAAATAGCTCTCAAACCGGCAAAGCTTGATTTGATAAAACATCTTTAAAAGTAATCAGGTGCCGAAACCGGTTTGGCTCAATGGATAGAGCATTGGCTTGGGGACTGAAGGGTTCCGGGTTCGATTCCGGTCAAGGGCATGTACCTTAGTTGCGGGCCCATCCCCAGTAGGCAGCTGGTCGATGATTCTCTCCCATCGATGTTTCTAACTCTCTATCTCTCTCCCTTCCTCTCTGTACAAAATCAATAAAAAAATATATTTTAAAAAATAAAATAAAAGCAATCAGGCTGTTTGCTTTTAATGCACAGTCCGATGCAGGAAGTGGAGAAAGTGGATGGGGACGTAGATAAAACCAGACTGTGTGCGGATGATGGTTGAAGCTGGTGATGGTGACATGGGTTCATTCTCATATATTGTGTATTTTTATGTTTCTAGATCTCCATGATAAAAAGAGGATGTTATTAACTGCTAGAGGCCTAGTGCATGGCATTTGTGTACTGGGGGTGGAGGGGAGAGGTGTCCCTCAGCCCAGCCTGCATCCTCTCACAGTCCAGGAGGGATGTCCACCTTTTGGCTTAGACCAATCCCCCAAGAATCAGGCCTAAACTGGCAGTCAGACATCCCTCTCACAGTCCAAGACTCTTGCGGTTCAGGACCCCTCCCTCCTTACTGCCTGTCTGCAACAGAGGTGGGAGAGGCTTCTGCCACAGCTGTGAGCCCGGCACTCCCCCTATGGGAGTGCACTGACCACCATGGGGCAGCTCCTGCATTGGGCATCTGCCCCTGGTGATCAGTGCGCATCACAGCAACCAGTCATTCCGATGTTTGGTCAGTTTGCATATTAGGGTTTTATTATATAGGATAAACATTCAAACACCAGTGTCACAGGGGCCAACATTACCTGTCGTAATTTTGCCCAAGTAATTGTCTTCCTCAAATTTCCCGGGCTCATTGACAAACTAATCTCTACTGTGAGCTAGATCTGTTAGGCAGCATTAAATGTTCCATGTATGTCAGTGAAAACTCCCTTGTTCCCGTTTCTGGAGAAAACATTCGGATGGTGCTAGCACAGCCCCTCAATCTACAGTCAACTTCTGCATTACCTGTGACCAGACCAGGATTGTGGTTTTGATTCTAGGCGTATTACGAAGAATTAGAAAAAAGTTAACCATCTAAGATAATAGTATTGGTAACCCACTTAAAGCAGGCACCGGTGAGCTCATCCTGTCACAACCCACTTAGGGTGAATGTGCAGTGCGGGGGCTGAAGGATCAGGGTGGACTGCAGGATCAGGATGCCTGACTCCACATGTGCAAGGCATGTGTCCGTTTGACAGCCAGTGTCCAGTCATGTGCTAAATATTAGCAACCCTGGGTTTTCTGACTATACCTACCTCATCTATATTCCTGCAATCACAAGCCCTCTAATGTCCTTCCCACATTCCAGCAAATTGCCTCCCACCTCTCCTGGAGTATGTACTCTTACCATTGTCTTGTTTGATGCAATACTATTTCCTAGTGTAACAGAAGATGCTATTATATTTTAATTTATCCTTCTCGTTTTTAAAAAACTTCTTTGCCCTAACTGGTTTGGCTCAGTGGATAGAGTGTCAGCCTGTGGACTGAAAGTTCCTAGGTTTGATTCCCGTCAAGTGCATGTACCTTGGTTGTGAGCACATTTCCAGTAGGAGGTGTGCAGGAGCCAGCTGGTCGATGTTTCTAACTCTCTATCCCTCTCCCTTCCTCTATGTAAAAAAAAAAAAAAAAAAAAAAAAAAAAAAAAAAAAATCAATAAAATATTTTTTTTTTAAATAAAAATAAAATAAAAAAGACTTCTTTCCATCCTACTATCTGTCTGATTCACTGGCATTCCCCAGTACCTTCAGCCATGATGGGAGCTCAGATGCACTTGACTTTGAATGCAGAGCTGGAAGAAGGCCTCACTACTCGACCCACCAGGACACGTGTGGCTCCATCAGCCTTTGACGGATCCAAGACAATGAAGGGGCAATTTGCGGTCAGAGATCAGGACTCAGGCCCTGTGAGCTTTGTGCTCTTTAATGCCATTTCCCCTTCACAAACAAATCCGATGAAAACTGCCCCTCTACCGCACAGGCTTGTTTTAAGTATAATGCAGGTGGCTCCCGTGGCTAACACTGGATTAGCTTACCCAAAAGCCATTCATCCACAAGCCATTGTTTCCTTTGCCTTCCTGGGCCTACATATGCACAGTCTAAGCTAACCTGGCCACCAGATCCAGTTCTGGCCAGGAGATGTGGGGAGGAGGGGCGGGCAGTCCCTGAGAGGAGCCCTTGGCTGGGTTGCCCCCTTCATCTCTTACTGCTGCTCTCCAATCCACTTTGCATAAAGCAGCCAGAGTGACCTTTTAAAGTAGTAAAGCAGGTCACACCATTCCTCAGCTGAAACTCTCCAACGGCTTTCCTTTCCGTCGGGGTTAGAATAAAATCCAAACTCTTCACCAGGGACTGGCTTCCTCTCCCCTCTGGTGTCATTCAGTTATTCTCCCCCACGCTCGGCACCGCAGGCCCGCCAGACCTTCTGTTCCTCAAACGTGCCAAGCGTGTTCCTGGCTCGGGGCCTTCCCACCTGCTCATTCCTCTGCCCTGTGCTCTCCTCCAGCTCATTGTGTGATTTGCTCTTTCAACTGTCAGCCTTTAACTCCTATGGTCCGTATCCTAGATGCCTTCCCTGCCCACCGTGGTGTCTGAGAAAGGCCCGTCTACATCCTCTACCCCGGCACCCAGTGTGTTTCATTGTTATCTCTTATCCCAGTCCAGTTCCTCTGTGTATTTGTTTACTTGTTAGCTATCTCTTATCCCTGGGATATGAGCATCACTGGACTACTGCTTCTGTCTACTTTGTGCATGGCTGTATGTATCCTTAGTCCCCTGCACAGCGCCTGAAACATACGAGACAACCACTCAATATTTGCTGAATAAATGAATGGGTCTTCCTTATGCATCTCGTCTTTTGTTCATTACTTCTTCAAAGGAAATGAGAGGCTAAACAAGAGTTCATAGTGGGAATAACAAGTGCTTAATACAGGACATGCCCTTCCGGGGAGGGGTAATCAGGGAAGCCAATGTGGTAACAAAAAAAAGGGGAGGGGGGCGGTGATTGTGATTGGTTGAGAGTAGAACGTACTGGAAAATTCTGTCTTCAACATTGCCCAATAGCTATTTGAACTGCCATGGCTGTACACACCTTAGGAACTCTTGGAAGAAGACATTTGGAAGTGAAGGTGACCTGGCCAGTCAAAGTAAAATGCCTGCTTCCTGCAGACTCAGCATCACATGCCGGAGTGAGGGGGCTCTTCCTGTTCATTTACATTCCTCACCAGCTGGCATAGCTGAGTGGTTGAGGGTCAACCTGTGAACCAGGTGGTCACAGTTAGATTTCTGTCAGGTCACATGCCCGGGTTGCAGGCTTGATCCCCAGTGCGGGGCATGCAGGAGGCAGATGTTCAATGATTCTCTCTCACCATTGATGTTTCTCTCCCTTCCTCTCTGAAATCAATACAAATATTTCTTAAATAAATAAATTCCCATTTCTCTTTATTTCCTCTCCTCACAGGCCTCCTCTATTCAAACCAACTGCTTTGATTCACCTCCTGGAGCTCTTCAAAGCACGGATTAACATTTCACATTTAGTCTCTCTGCAGATGTGTGTGTGTACAGATGCTCCTCTGCCTACCGTGGGTTCCATCTGATAAACCCATCACAAATTGAAAATAGCATAAGTGGGAAATGCCTTTAATATAGCTGACCTACCAAACATCAGAGCTTAGCTCGGCCTGCCTTAAACCTGCTCAGAACACCTACATTAGCCCACGGTTTGGTAAAACCATTTAACACAAAGCCTATTTATAATAAAGTCTTTAATATCTCATGCAAATTATTCTGTGACCATTATAAAAAAAAAATCCTAAATTGAACTCTCATAAGTTGGGACTATGTATATAAACACACACACACACACACACACACACACACACACACACACACATATATATATATATATATATATATATATATATATATATATATTTGTTATCATTTTGCAGACATTTTTGAAAGCAGGTGTTTGTCATGCTGAATGGTTTACAAATGGAAACACTTAAGGGAAGAGGGAACAAATGGCGTTCAAATAAAAGATACTGACCACAAAGACATGCAAACTGTTATCCACAACCAAGGCTCCTATGAGCAGAATAAATGAGCCTAGCCCACCTCCTTTCCACCATATAGTTATTATTTTGCAGACATCAAGACACTTCCCCCTTCAATACTTATATAGATATCTCCTAATTCTCTCCCACTTGAAACCATTATCACAACTAACAAAATTAACAAGCATTCCCTAATACCATCTAGAACACAGGTTATATTCAAATCTCCAAGAACTCTTTCTTTTGGAGGTTTCATTGCACATCATATCAAATATATTAAAATGCATCCCTAGTACTGTTTTTCTGAAAAAATTTTGTAATGGTTTAGCCAGAAATAAACCACTTATTTTGTAATCAGCTAATCTCTCAGGAGGCATGGTACATGGTCCTTTTGAAAGGAAATACTCTAATGTATTGATTTAAAATATAAATAATGTGAGTTTTTGCCATGGCCAGTGTGACTTCCGAGCACCGAAAGATCAGTGGTTGAATTCCTGGTCAGGGCACATACCCAGGTTGCAGTTCAATCCCTGGTGGGATGCATATGAAATCGATGTTTCTCTCTCACATAGATGTTTCTCTTGTGTGCTCTCTTCTTTCCTCTCTCTCTAAATTCAATAAAAATGTATTCTTAAATATATAATTAATGTTTTATGAATACGAATGTTATCAACTAATAATGCCTGCGTAATTTTTAGTTCATAGACATTTAATTTATTGTTTCTTAC